AAAAAAATTTTTTTTTTTTTTTTTTTTTTTTTTTTTTTTTTTTTTAATTGAATGTGAAAGACACAACGAAATTGAAAAGGTAATCACATGATTTAGGGTTTGATTAAAGAAGAAAAAAGATGTTTAAAGCAAAGAATTTTTTAGTATTAAAAGTAATGCTTTGCCTTTTCTTTTATAGAATTAGTTAATGTTTCCCCTTTTTTTTATTCCTTTTCATAGGCTCTCTATTTAGGTTTATGTGTAATAATATCAAATTTATTAATATTAGGCGATTATTCATTAATTCATAACTAAATTGAATTTAGTAGCGGATTGTTTTTTTATTATTATTTTCAAAATATATATTTATTATATAATAACTAAAATTTGTAACGTTCAAATATCAAACATTTACACGTCATAACATATCACTAATTTAGACTATAAAGTTCGAATATTTTTTAATTTTTTTAAAAAAGTACTATAAGGTTGGGTTGAGTTTTTAGGTTGATCACAAAAAAATGTCAACCGGGAACAGAACTAAATTTATGTTTTTCCCCAAAATAACCTCACTCGAACTATAAAAAAAAATCTAACCCAACTCAACTTGAGTTGAGTTATAAGATCCTAAACTCACTGTTAGAAGATATTGTCTGTTTTGACTCGTTATGTATCATTGTCATTATCAAGATTTTAAAATTATGTCTATTAGGAGATGTTTTCACACTCTTATAAGAAAAAGTAGTTTTTAGGTGTTTTTGCAATTGCTTTTTGAGTATGAAGAAGGATAGGGTAGAGGGTTAGGTATGGTTATTATGGCGCAATGACAAAAGTGGGAAGCAAGATGGCGACAATTCACGAGGACCCAGCGACACTAAAATAAAAATATTAAAAAAAACATAAATTATAATTCTTAAAAAAATTCTATGATCGATCAACCAAACTGAACCTATACGATTTAAGTTATGTGATTACTTTTTTTTTGGATTGAATTGGTTTATATGAGATCCCACGTCGATTGGAGAAAATAACGAAATATTTCCTATAATTTTGTGGAAACCTCTCTTTACGGGACGTATTTTAAGATTGTGAGGTTGAAGGTGATAGTAATGGGCTAAAACGGACAATATTTACTAGCAGTGAGTTTAAGCTGTTACAAATGGTATTATAGTCAGACATTTGACGGTGGTGTGTCAGTGAAAACATTGAGTCCCCAAGTAGACACAATTTAAGACTGTGAAACTGACGATGATACCTAACAGGCTAAAAGGTACAATATTTGCTAGGCATATGTGGAAAAAGGGTATAAGAGTGTGGAAACTATCTAGTAGATGTGTTTTAAAGCTGTGAAGTTAACAACGATACGTAGCAGACTAAAACGGATAATATCTGATTACGGTGGACTTGTACTGTTACACTTTAAATTAACTTAAAATTAGTTTAAGGTTAGAAGGAAGAAAATTCGAAAAAATATAATTCCTATTTTAAGTCGGATTTAATTAATTAGAATAATTGAAATTTATTTTATATAATGATTAAATTATTAAATATGGATCGACAATAATTTTGAATAATAATAATAATAATAATAATAATAATGGCTTCCTTATAGAGGGAAAAAACGCATAATAATGGCGGCAGTTACAATTACAGGTTGGTTCTTGAAAATAAGTTTGGAAAATGAAAAATAGAGCTTAAAAAAAAAAAAAAAATTAGAAGGGTATTTGGTGTCCAATAAAAAAATATGTGGGACCCACAGGAAGTAACTAAATCCCAATATGTAATTTCATCTTTGTTCCTCTACGCGGAAATGGTATCGAGCAAAAGGCAGTGTGTGGCCGAATGCCGTACCAGAATCAACAATAGAACTTAAGCAATCCACCTCTCTGCCGTGCCGATCTCTTCGCCGCCACTCGCCGGAGACCATTAAAGCCGAAGCCAGAGGCTGACAGAGAAAGAAAGAGAGAGAGAAACAGTTGTGTTTTTGAAGCGGTTTGCTCGGCCATTGCTTAGAGTGACGGCGGAGAGAGAGGAGAGATGCTGAAGCGGAGGAGGAGAGCAGTGGCGCTGCTGAGGAAGTTGCTAACCTGCGCCATATGCTCTATAGCTTTACTAGCGCTTCTTTCTGTTCATCTTCACTTTTTTCCGTCCTCCGAAGTCCCTGGCTTCTCCGATTCACACAAGCTTCCAGCGGTCGGTGATTTTTCTTCTCTCAATCTCTACTCTCGCTCTTTATTTCTTCTTTTATCCTTCACGTATGATTGTGTTTTGAACTTTGTTTCTTCAATTTTGTTTGATTTCTGAAATGTTGCTAAGGAGTACTACTGATTCTGGCGTTTGAATTCGAAATTACTAGTGTGCGTATTCAACGAACCAGTGTAGGAACTGTATAGCTTAGCTTTTATTATGTTTTGGTTGTGTGTGATGTAGTCCGATTTCGTGTGTGTACTCTTTAATTATATTGTCTGTGAGTTATTCTCGATTATGAATTGAGATTAGGTAGGGTATTCTTTGACTTTGAGTCATTTTGTTGACTAGTTTACTCGTAAAATGTTTGACGGAGTGGTTTTAGGTTTTCTCATTATGAAATGGTGATTTCACTGATTTTGATTTTGGAAAATTTCTGCTAACATATTTTGTGTTCCTAATCATGTAGCAACGTGAATTTAAACATCAGAGGTTGAGCACTGAGAATAGCTGGACTCAGGAGATTGTTCCGCTCCATTTGTCCAAAGCTCCTGTTGCTTCTCGCAAGGTTTTCCATTTCTTTAACTCCGTAGTTATGATTCATTTGCAGAATGCCCTCAATAATATCAGTAGGATCCGGAAAGAATTGGAAAAATGATATGCCGTCTGAGACTTTTCTACTTTGTAACTGTTTTTTTAGCAATTAGTAGAACACAATCTTTCTAATCTTTGGTGAAAATAAGTAATCAGGTTTTTGTGGTTGGCTTGAAGTTTACTATATGTAATTTCGCTGTTGATAAGAAGTTATGCACATTTCACTTTTTCACTCCTTTAGACTTGACAGTTGGGCAGTGCAAACTTGGTTCTGGGTCTGGACAAGCTATGGAAGCCTCCATCAAACCGTGACTTTTTGCCGTGTGTAGAGCCTAGTTCGAATTATACATGTAAGAATGATCCTAAGTTGATATTGTTCCAAACGAAAACCCCTTGTACTTATTCTCTGAACTTTTATCGGCTATGCAGCTCCTGGGGAGTCACGAGGTTACCTTCTAGTTCATACAAATGGGGGACTCAATCAAATGCGTGCTGGGGTTTGTACCTGTTCCTACATTATTATAGTACCAATAATTATTCCTCTTAAGTGTTTTGGCATTTTTCTTTTTGCTAAAATATAATTCTTATTGAACCAGTACATATGATGTTAATAAGAGTTCTCAAAGAATAGTTTTACTTCCTGAACTTTTATTCCTTTGTCATTTATCTTTATTCCAGTTTGGAATGTTATCTTCATTTCATTGTGGACTGTTGTCTCCCTTACATTTTGGCTGTTATATTTCTTTACATCTTTCAATTTAGTCATTCAACCCTCTCACTCACTAAAGTCAAAATTTTGTCCCACTCTCATTTTATGCTATTGACTATGTATCCAATTGTATTGCAAAAACATGGGTGCTTGGAGGCGGGATTCTAAAGCATTCAGAAATTAGCCCTAAATTTTATGATTTTCATGGTTACCTTATGGAAAGCTTAATTGCCACAGTATCCATACAACGCTTTGAAAATTCTTGCTTATAGTTCTGTCCTGAAATTTGTATTCTTCACATTAAGTATATTATAGATCCCAGAGTTGTTACCAAGTCCTTTTGCGTTCATTATGTTTGAATACTTCTTAACTATTCTATTGAAGTTTTGGTCTTTAACAACTATTTTCATTCTTGAATTGCAGATATGTGACATGGTAGCTGTAGCTCGCATTATTAATGCTACCCTTGTAATTCCAGAACTTGATAAGCAATCTTTTTGGCAGGACACTAGGTTTCCTCTTGTTCATTTTTTTTTTTCCCAATTGTTTTTCGTTTCATTTGTGGGTTTTCCTTGTGTAACGTTGCCCAGTCCATGATTGAGTTTATTTTATTTGTGTAATCTCCAGCAATTTCTCAGATGTTTTTGATGAAGATTATTTTATCAGTGCTCTTTCTATGGATGTAAAAGTGGTAAGAAAGCTTCCTAAAGAATTGGCTTCTTCTTTGAAGATAGTTAGGCATTTTAGAAGCTGGTCAGGTATGGATTATTACGAGGAGGAGATTGCTACCCTTTGGGAAGAATTTCAGGTATTTCTACTTCATTTGGATCTTGTTTATGCAAATCCCAGTTATTGTTCTTCATTAATTAATGTGCAATTTTTTGTTAGGTTATTCGAGCTGCAAAATCTGATTCACGATTAGCAAATAATAATCTACCTTCAGATATACAGAGGCTCCGTTGCCGTGCTTGTTATCAAGCCCTCCGTTTTGCACCTAAAATTGAAGCCTTGGGAAAAGTAATATTCTGTTATATTCTTTTTTTGCTGCTGGAGTAATCATATCCCATCTTTTAGTCATTATAAATAGTTATAATGTATGCTGTAGTTATTGGTGGATCGAATGAGGTCTCATGGTCCTTATATTGCTCTACATTTACGATATGAGAAGGACATGCTTGCGTTTAGTGGATGTACACACGATTTATCTCCTGCTGAAGCGGATGAGCTGAGGATGATTAGGTACAAAACCCTTTCTATATCCTTTATGTGGTTGGTTACATTGTACACTCGTAACTACTGGTGGTGTGTTGAGTTCAATGCCTTATTTCTCTTATTTTCTTTCTCTTCTTCTTTTGTCTTTTTCGTGGTGGTGGTGGTGTTGGGGGACACTTGCAGAGAAAATACTTCATATTGGAAGGTAAAGGAGATAGATCCTTTGGAACAAAGATCCAAAGGGTTCTGCCCATTAACACCAAAGGAGGTCGGATTATTTCTTAGTGCACTTGGCTACCCATCAAAAACTCCTATATACATTGCAGCTGGAGAGATTTATGGTGGCGATTTACATATGTCCAATCTTCAAGCACGGTACCCATTACTGATGAGCAAGGTAACTGTAACTTTTTCTCCTAAAGTTTCTTAATCTAAAAACTAGAACACTGAGCAGCATCCTTTCGAAAATTTAATCGATAGCTTTTGTTCATGAAAAAGGTTCCATGAACTTACAGTACTCAAATCCAACGTCCTATTAGCTATGCTAATTTGATCAATAGCTTTTGTCTAGTAAGTATGTGCAATGATAGCTTATTTGCTTTTTCTGAAAATTACAGGAGAAATTAGCATCTGCTGAGGAGCTCGAACCTTTTGTCAATCATGCATCTCAAATGGCTGCCCTTGACTACATTGTGTCTGTTGAGAGTGACGTTTTTGTTCCTTCATACTCTGGGAATATGGCCAGAGCAGTCGAAGGTCACCGGCGATTTCTTGGACATAGGAAAACTATATCTCCTGACAGGCAAGAAAGTTGACATTAAAAGCATCTTCTGCTTTAACAACCTTTCAATTGCTTTCACTGAAGCTGTTTGTGTCATCTTGTTATTGTCTATCAGGAAAGGGCTTGTTCGTTTGTTCGACAAACTTGATCAGGGAACAATGAAAGAAGGGAAAAATTTGGCCAACCGAATTTTTGAGATGCACAAGAGAAGGTACTGCGTCCTCATTATAGCCGTGTTTTTCTTCCCATGTTATTAGTTAGTCAATGGGATAGTGTTAGAAATTACGAATCTTTACAATGGTATGATATTGTTCAGTTTGAACATAAACTCTCATGGTTTTGCTTTGGACTTCTCTAAAAGGCCTCATACCAATGGAGATGTATTCCATACTTATAAACTCATGATCAATCCCTAAATTGGTCAATGTGAGACTCCCTCCCAACAATCCTCCCCTCGAACAAAGTACACTATAGAGCCTCCCCTGAGGCCTGTGGAGCTCTTGAACAGTCTCCCCATAATCAAGGCTGGACTCCGTATCTAGAGTCCTTGAACAAAGTACACCCTTTGTTCGACACTTCAGTCATTTTTTACTACACCGTCGAGGCTCACAACTTATTTATTCGACATTTGAGGATTTTATTGACATGACTAAGTTAATGATATGACTTTGATATCATGTTAGGAACCACGAACCTCCACAATAGTACGATATTGTCCACTTTGAGAATAAGCTCTCATGACTTTGCTTTGGGTTCCTCAAATACCAATGGAGATGTATTCCTTACTTATAACCCCATGATCATTCCCTAAATTAGCCAATGTGGGACTCCATCCCAACCATCCTCAACGGATATAGCATTGTGGGAGCGAATTTTAGTGATCTTCTCTAAAGAAAAAAACACTAAGGAACCGCTGTTTACCTTTTGACTAATTTTTACCGTACAGCCACCTGTCATGAATAACGAGTTGTTCAAAACTTGTATTTGATTTTGCTCTGAAACCTGTTTTCTCAGGCAAGGCTCTGCAAGGAAGAGAAAAGGCCCCATTTCAGGAACCAAAGGCATGGACAGGTTCCGCTCAGAAGAGGCCTTTTATGTTAACCCTTTGCCAGATTGTTTATGTCAGAGAAATACCAACTGGAAACATGACCATTTTCAGATAGTTCAACCAAATGGCAATATAAGATTCACCTAGAGTAGGATGTATAGGCAGACGACCCGTCAGCCAGGTCACTGGCTGTACATCGTTACAGTCAGCCAGAGCGACGGAGTGTTTATAACCGAGTTTTGGTAGTCGGCGGTGGTATAAGAGGTTGAGGGACGATCCCTTCACGCAGAGGGGTTACTAAGCCTAATTGTTTCCATGCTATAGTAATTTAATACAATAATGAGGTAAGAATTGAAGCAATTTTATTAATTTCAATGATGCAAAATTCACTATAGTTTCTTTAATGTAATGTTGCACTGTTTTTAAATGCAACGTAGGTTCTTTTATCGGCTGCCTAACTCTGTAGTAATTATATGAAACCCAGTTTCGGCCATGGATGAACTAATTATTACCATATTAGTAGTGTTGGATGGAGGGTTAGTTCAATAATTATTACAAGTGTTCATTCTACTCGAGCATTTTATTATTGGACAAAATAGTTTTAATACAATTTTTAGTCTTTTAACTTTTATGTTTGTGTCGATTTAGTCAAACAGACTTCGAAAGGGTGAATTGTCTTCTTCGGACTTTTCTCAAGGTTTTTAAAAGATGTCTGATAGGGGAAGTTTTCATACCCTTATAAAAAATGTTCGTTCTTCTCTGTTGGTGGGATTTTATAATTCACCCTTTTGGAGTTTAGTGTCCTTGCTAACACTCGTTTTCCTCTTCAATCGATGCAGGATATTATAATCCACCCACCTTCAAGACCCATTGTCCAAGTTGGCACTCATTCCTCTCTTCAATCGATGTGAAATCTCACATGTTTTATGCTTATTAGGTCCCATATCAAAAAATTAAAAACAAACTAATTTATTAAATATAAAATTAAATTTTATGTCTAATAATACGATAAACTTGATGGATTTATTTTTTTAAAAAAAATTAATTAGGTCAATAACAAAAAAAAAATTAAAATTAAAATTTAGGCGGTCACTTACCTTTCAAAATTTTCTAGCGTCCCAGGGCCAATAAGGATCCGCCACGTCATTTTCACGATCCGTTTGGTGTTCCGGAAAGCGCATCTCAACCGTCCATTCATCCACTCGTACCGTCCGATTAAGTACAAAGCAGCACAGTGAAGGCCAATCATATCTATCCGCTCGAACGGGGAGCGCCGTCCTATATAAAGCGCTCAAATTCATTTGTTTTCGAATTAAATCCCAATCTATTCGAGCTCCTCCTCTCTCTCTCGTTTCTCAAGCGCTTCTTCGCCGTCCAAGGTAGCTTCTCTTCGCCTCCATAATCTTCCTTTTCTTTTCTTGCAATTGCTTGGTATGATCACTTTCGATGTGTTCTGGTTTTCTGCTGAAATTCGTTCTAATAGATTATAATTGATGATTAGCTTTACTTTCTGGAGTCGAGTTGGTATGATACTTCTTTTGAAACCTAAACATAATAATCGAAGAATTTGTTTAAAAGTTTTCTGAAGGAGTAGGAAGAAGTAGGTTAAATCTATTAGTTCCTCAAATTTATTGATTATAGAACAATCGTCAGATGTTCTTGTTCATTCTGACTGAGAAACGGAGCGGAACGCGCTTTAAATAAAATTGGTTTTAGCAATCTGTTTTGTTTTGATTGAGCGATGTCTATGCAGATGGCTCGTACCAAGCAAACCGCTCGCAAATCCACTGGTGGAAAAGCTCCCAGGAAGCAGCTTGCTACTAAGGTATGAACATGGAAGATTGGAAGCTAAATTCTCAATCGCATTGACATTTGTTTCTTAACCCTAATATAATTGTCGCCATTACCAATATTTTCATAGGCTGCGCGTAAGTCTGCCCCAACTACTGGAGGCGTGAAGAAACCACACAGATACCGCCCAGGAACAGTTGCTCTTCGGTGTGTAACCTTTTATCTATAATCGTTGTTCAGACGAACAGATCATTAATGGTTATCTAGTTCATATGAAATCTCATGGCGTCGTTTTAATGTAATGCGTTGCAGAGAAATTCGTAAGTACCAGAAGAGCACAGAGCTTCTAATTCGCAAGCTCCCATTCCAGAGGCTTGTTCGTGAAATTGCACAGGATTTCAAGACAGATCTGCGGTTCCAAAGCCACGCGGTTTTGGCTTTGCAAGAGGCGGCTGAAGCTTACCTGGTTGGGCTGTTCGAAGACACCAACCTCTGCGCCATTCATGCCAAGCGCGTTACAATAATGCCGAAAGATATTCAACTTGCCAGAAGAATTCGTGGGGAAAGAGCTTAACCAGCTTCCCAAGTTACTCAATGCATCATCAATATAATATTTTTCCTGTGCTCCAATCTCAATCGATGTGTAAAAATTGAGCTTTTTGCGACTATAAACACAAATCTTATTTAACTTTGAAGTTCATCGTTTGTGAAATTCATTTGCGCAGTTCATCGATTCTTCCAATCAAATTGAGTTTGAACTTTTAATTTCTTCATTGTCTTATTGGATTAGAACATAAACATTGAAGAAACATGGGGGGCGTAGCTTACAAGCTTGGTTGCAAATGGATTTTGAATAAAAGACCAAAAACCAGCCGAAAATTATGAACTCAATTGTTTGAGAGAGTTTATTTGGAATTTGAGGGCAGCATGTGTGGCTTAACTCCTACAGCGGACCTGGGAAGGTGCCGTTCTCCCTTTGCTCATTCCACCTCTCTACCTGCAACAATTATCACAAAACACACAGCTTTAGTAATGAAATGAAACACGCACGCGCACACACATCGTGTCATTTGAAAGCATACCCATTCACTTGGGCATAGAGAACGATAGTATTTTGCAAATTTGTCACACTCTGGAGCACCTTCCCCTTTCGCTTGTATGCATCTGTACGCATCACAAAGAAGCTTCAGCTAACCATATGAATTCTGGGTCAAAACAATAGAAAAGACGTACATTTACCTTGTTTTTGATGTTTAAGAAACACATGAATTCTTGACAAAAAGAATAGCAACGACGTACATTTACCTTGTTGTCGACGTTTAAGAAACATTTGAATCCTTGGCCAAAACAATAGCAAAGATATACAATTGCCTTGTGTTCAAATTTTAAGAAACATCTGAATTCATGGACAAAACAATGGCAAAGACATACATTTGCCTTGTTTTCAAGATTTAAGAAACATTTGAATTCTGGTCAAGCCAATAGCAAAGATGTACATTTGCCTGTTTTCGACTTTTAAGAAACATTTCAATTCTTAAACCAAAACAATAGCAACAGCAAAGACAGAAATCTACAGGCTTAACACTAGCAATTATAAGCTTAATTCTCAAGATTCAGAAGCTAATAAGGCCTAAGAAGAGACAAGAAATGAAGAAAAGAACACTAAAAATTACCTATGGTACTCAATATAGCGAGTGAAGCAATGCCTAGTTTGATTTGTAGTAGGGAACCGGAAATCTGCTGGAGCTGTTTCAAGCTGCAAATGAGCAAACCAAATAATGAACAAACAAACTAAGAGATGCCTTAATAATGTCATGAATTAAAAAACGAACGATAGCATTGTTGATCATCAGTGACAGCAACAACCTTAATCTCAGGTGCTTCATTGCTGCTTTCTTGCTCACCAGAATTTTCCTCTTCTCCAGCTCCGCTGCTTCCTTGCTCAGCAGCAGCAGCAGCAGCTGCTGATGCATCTTCATTGTTTTCGTCAACAGGAGTGTTGTCACCGCCTTGACCGGCAGCATCGGCTTCAACAGGTGGGTCGTCATTCTTAACAACAACTTCTGCAGGAGGAGGAACATTTTCTGAGTTCTCTACCTCTTTTACTTCAGAGGGCTCTGCTATATCCACCTTCTCCACTTTATCTTCCAAGGAATATTGCTGAAAGCCAAATTAACAGAAGGTTATCCCCAATTCTCAAATATTTTTTATGAAATGTTCCTCTAGATGAGAATGACAAATCATTACACAAAAATCCGATGTAACAGCCCAAGCCCATCACTAACGAATATTGTCCGCTACAGTCCGTTACATATCTCCGTCAGCATTAAGATTTTAAATTGTGTCTACTACAGAGAGGTTTCCACACTCTTATAAAGAATGTTTCATTCCCCTCCCCAACCAATGTGGGATCTCACAATCCACCTTCCTTTGGGACCTTTGGGACCCAACATTCTCGCTGGCAAACCATTGGTGCCTAGCTCTGATACCATTTGTAACACCTCAAGCCCACCGCAAGCAAATATTGTCCACTTCGGCCATGTATTGATTCATTCTCACGGTTTTAAAATGCATCTATAGGGAGAGGTTTCCACACCCTTATAAAGAATGATTTGTTCTCCTTTCCAACCGAGGTGAGATGTCATATTAACTTTGAATTCATTGTGATTCCTCTCGTAAACCAAGCAGCTCAAGCCCGATTATTTTCTTCTCTCTTTTCTACAGAGCAGTTAGGTGAAGCCATTAACTAAATCAAGAAACGATTCTCAGCTTCCATTCCAATGCAAAATCAGGCAGAAGGTTGAGTCGTTGATAAAGATCTTTCAAACTTGGGGAAACACATTGATCTTTTAACAGAAAATAATAAAAAGACAGTAAATTAAACCCACCAGAACTCGAAGGTGAACAACCTGGAAATCCAATCATGCTAAAAAAACTCAGTATTATTTCATATGGAACCGGGGGATCTAACCCAGAGAATTTACTACCGTTCTTCAATTATTTCCTCAACACTAAGAAGTTCGAATTTACAGCAGAAAAAAACACCACGTATCTTCATAATTGAAGAATTCCTGCTGTATAACATTCGATCTATCAAAATCAATCCTAAATCTATCTAGATTGCAAAAAAGAAGGAAAAACGAAGCTAAAACAAAGATTTAGGATTTACGAAGAAATTCGAGACTCTTAAAAAAGCTGTAAAAAAAAAATTAAAAAAATTAAAAAAACCTCAGCTAAGGACGGGGCTTTTTCGCTCTGCGCTTCCGCCATGGATGAAAGAAGAAGAAACGATCCGCTCCAGTTGCAGCTACAAACGCAACGATTGGACAACAGAGACGGCAGCAGGAAGGGCAAACGGAGGAAGAAACTCTAACTCGTTGGTTAGGTTAAGATTGACCATACACTAGTTACGATGATTCCAGCAGAATCGAAAGAGCAACTGCGGTTATCCAATCACAACTTACCACGTCACTCCTTTGGTTTAGATTATGGGCTTTAATGGGCCGTATATTTTAACACGGGCCCAACAAGTACAAATTACAATATTGTAAGAAAATAAATATTAGATAATTAAGATAATTAATCTACAAAATAAAAAGCGGTAAACTCTAAGACTTTTACATATGAAGTCTTGAGATTTGTGAGAATTATCATTTTAGTACAATCTTTTTTTTAATTAATTTCTAGTTATATTTTAAAATTAATTTTGGTGCAATTATATATTTTTCAACTAGACCGACCATTAGTGAATGTAATGTCAAGCCAGCAAAAACAAACCCCAAGCTCGAGTACAAGAAGTGATTCTAGGTTTGAATGAGCTTCAACCTCGACCATTGAAACCTTGTGAGGTCCCACATCGGTTGGAGAGAAAAACGAAGCATAAGGGCATAGAAACCTCTCTCTAGCAGACGAGTTTTAAAATCATGAGGCTAACGACAATACGCAACGGGCCAAAAAGACAATATTTACTAGCGGTGGACTTGGGTAGTGACAAACAGTATCAGAACCAGACACCGGGCAATGTGCCAACGAAGACAATGAGCCCCCAATGAGGGTGTATTGTGAGAGGAGAACGAAGCATAACAGTGTGGAAACTTCTCTCTAGCAAACGCATTGTAAAAGTGTAAAGCTAACGACGATACGTAACAAGCTAAAACATACCATATTTACCGGCAGTGAACTTAAACTATTACACTATGAGATCTAGAATTAGAAGTAACACACAAATTTTAGGTAGGATTAAGAAAGGAAACCATTAGTATTACACACCTTTTTGGAGGGTCATGGATTTCTTTATCATAAATAATCATTGCATTGTTGGGTGGACCAACCCTTTCCTTTGAGGTTTCAACAATGGTGCCAGTCTTCCTCTTTTCCCATCTTTCACTTTCTTACCTAATTTTGAACAAAATAATGTATTTGTTTATTTCTTTTACAGTACAATAATAATAATTCATAGATTCCCACTGAATCTTTCACTACTACCAAGTAGAGGCCTCGTCATCTTTATCAGCTAATGTCTGAAGCCTTTACACTTCCATCACTCTTTATTCTTCAAAATACAACTCATCCTTCGAAGTATTACCTCCAAAACACACCCTATTCAACAAAGATGTCATTCACAACCATAAATCATCATCAAATCTACCGTTCAAGTTCCTACCGCGGGTCTATATTATCTTCTTTGAATTTTTCCTATCGGACTTTCCCTCGAGGTTTTTAAAATATGACTGCTAGGGATAGATTTCTACACCCTTATAAAGAATGTTTCATTCTCCTCCCCAACCGAGGTGGGATCTCACAATCCACCCCCTTCGAAGCCTAACGTCTCCGCTGACACTCGTTCCCTTCTCTAATCGATGTGGGGACCCCCAAATCCACCTCCCTTCGGGGCCAACATCCTCGCTAGCACACTGCATCGTGTCCACCCCCTTAAGGCCCAGCCTCCTCGTTGGCACAATGCCTGGTGTCTGGCTCTAATACCATTTGTAATGGTTCAAGCTCACCACTAGCAGATATTCTCCTTTTTGGGCTTTTTCTTTCGAGTTTCCCCATAAAATTTTTAAACTCGCCCGATAGGAAGAGGTTTCCACACCCTTATTAAAAAGAATGTTTCGTTCTCCTCTCCATCCGATGTGGGATCTCACAATATCAAATGAAATCTAAGGCATAAAATTACCCTACAATGTGTTCAACATATAATTGCCAAATCATGTAACCAAACAGGTTATAGTTCACATTTAATGATTAAAAGAAAAAGATGAAATGCTTCAACTAAAGAATCTTTTACGGCTAATGGGTCCAAAGTAAATGAAAACGACGACGATGATGATGATCTACCAAAAGAACACAGACTGGTTCTTGAACTTTGACCAGCAACAGTGATTTTTAATCCAGATCACATGCACGACAACAAGCAGACGCAAGCTAAGATTTAGAGACGTGGGATTGGATTACCCTTCCATTATCATGCACTTAATTACGAAATTAGCAACAGTGCCGTTAGATTAAAGGTAAATTAGCAAATGAAAAGCAGTGAACAGAACAGCTGCATGCCTTCTTTTACGGGTCATGTCCCCTTCCCTTTTGTAATTATACTGAAAGACAAGAATTATAGTGACCAAAAGAAGCAAATGACAGAGCCCATAAGAGATACAGGCATGGTACTTCTTTTGCTTTCACACCTTTTCATTAAGCCACAATGAGTTATAAATTCAAACCATTATGCTATTATCAAATACCCAACAATGCAGCAATGCCTATCAATAAAGCAGAAAATCATCTTTAATGAGTAAAAAAACCAGTCAAAATAGTTTCAAAAGAAGAAGATTGGGGCCTTTCATTCAACCATTTTCTTAACATTTCAAGCTTGAAAGGATATTATATATAGTGAGCAATACAGAGGGTTGTGTCCCTACTCACCGAGTTCTGTGAGGAGAAGAGACGTAGGCCACCATCCCCACCACTCCTAGAGTTGTCTGCTGCAACTCCTGTATGCCTGATCCCTCTGTTTGTATAGATTAGATAACAAAAATCAGTGGCGGCTGTGATCTGTTTGTGTTAGATAATACATATTATGGATAAAAGCTGTCAAGAATCTGTAGAAACGACCAGTACCAGTAGCACTGGCATAGGAAGAGACCATGGTAGTCTGAATCTCAGCAAGCTATCCCACAAGATTTCCAAGGCCACTTCCCAGCTGAGAAAGCCTGGCTTTGATGCTCCCTTGAATCAAAACCATCCAAGCTTCAACAATCTGCAAAATCGACTTCAATCGGCACCCCCTCCAGTTCAAACTCAGCAACAACAGAATTTACAGGCGCAGCAGCACCAGCCGCCGGTGTATAACATTAACAAGAATGACTTCCGAGATGTGGTTCAGAAACTTACAGGCTCACCGGCTCACGAACGATTCTCAAATCCTCCGCCTATTCAACCTCCTAAACCCCAAAGCTCTCGCCTCCATCGAATCCGCCCTCCTCCTCTCGCGCATGTTACCAATCGTCCCCCTCCTCTAAACACCAATATGCCTCCTCCACAGCAGCTACTAAACAATGCGACCGCCGCGAATTTCGGCCTTGGCGGACGGCCTATGGCACCATTGTCACCGTTGCCTCCACTGCCAACCGTCCACGCAGCAGCGGAATCCCCTGTCTCCGCTTACATGCGATACATTCAGAATTCAATTCCTACCGCGGATTCAAATCCACCGCCGCCGCAAGGATTCTCCCCACTCGGCCCTCCGGTCTCCTCCGGCTGGAACAATTTCGCCGCGCAGCAGCAAGGTACAATGCCTCTCCCGCCATCATCTGCAATGTTACAGTCCTCACATCCGCAGTTTCCGATGCCACCATCATCGCCACTGCCATTTGGATGCTTGAACTCGCCAATGTCCTCGCATGGAGTGTTCCCTTCCCCGAATCTGACGTTTTCGCCATCAATAGGTCAATTAGGGTTTCCGCAGATGCCGCTCTCGCCTACTGTTCCCGCGTCAAGCCCTAGATGGATCGGCGACTAGTCCCCTCCGTGCTAGACATTTACCAAACGCCGTCGTTTAATGTATCAGGAGCCTAAGACCAAAAAACCCTATTATATTATTTTATTTTATTATTCACTCTGGAATTTAACTGGGAAGTGTTTTTTTTTTTTTCTTTTGAGAATTACTAAGTAGGTGTATTTGAAATAAAATACCGTTAATTTTTATTTTTATTTTTTGTCTTCATATTGTTTTTAAAATAATTTTTATTATTCAACCACTAAAAAAAAAGAGAATCCTTGAACAATTTATAGTTCATCGATGTCAAAGACTGCGCGTGCGAATCTTATTCGAGGGGCATCACCGTCCAAATTTTTATTTTATTTTCCATTTCGATAAGCTCGAGATTAAATTATTTATAAAAAATATGTCAATTGTCAACTGTCTCAGCATCTTTTTACATTTTAATATAAAAAGAAAATACTTTATTAAATAACTTTAAAATCTCTATGTCAACTAGTTAATAAAATTATTCGCAATATTATACTTTAGCTTATAAAATATTATTAGACTCGTTAAAATGTACGAATGTAGCAAAATTCCCCATTAGATATTCCGAATTGCATTTGAATGGAAGAAAGAATAAGGAACTATGCACTACAAAGTAGGAGGGGCTTTTAAGAACAATGGGGAAAAATTTAAAGCAAAATTGTCATAAAAACCAGTGGGTATTCAATGTGAAGCCAATGGAGCTAGGCGACAAAATAGAGGTCAATGCTATTCAACGTCATCCACTTCTATTGGACAAAATGTGATCTTGAAAATGTAAAAAAAGAGAAGCAAACAAAAACTGATTTTAGATTATAGAATAAAAATGAAAGAGAAAAAAGTAAACGAGGTTTTGTAGCTCGGGTCACAATCCGGCAACAAATGACATGAGAGCCCTTACAACTCAGGATAGTACCAAATATAAGCAACAAGAAGCATGCATCTTCTCCTATCAAAAACATATTATGGAGAAGTTTATACCCCTACTTGGGTGGGGACTCACTAATCTTACTGCTTTTCTTCCTCGCGCTTGGGGGGAGCTTCTTTGATCTCATCCGCACCCTCGTCCTGAAACAAAGATCAAGAAAAACAAACAAAAATAGTGCGTAAAGAGGGTGTTGTTCTTGAACAATTGGTGGGGATTTAAAGGAAAGAGGAAGAAAGGTTTCACTTGGTGATTCATTTGGACATCCATTTCTACTGTGTTCAGATAGATTCGCCAATCAATTATAGATTTACTAGTAGATTCTAGTGACCAGCTATATACAGCGTATTTTTTCAATTCAATCACTGTTTCTGTATCGTTTTGTGGAATGATTTTGTCAATAAATGTGCCATAAAACCAAAGGTGGGGTGAATTTAGTTTGTGTACCTGCATGTCCGAGGTCCAGAGAGTGAGGTTATCGCGGAGAAGTTGCATAATCAAAGTACTATCCTTGTAGGATTCCTCACCGAGGGTATCCAACTCAGCGATGGCTTCATCAAACGCCTGGTTTAAGCATGAAAATAACATATGAATAAAATGGTAGATTGACATCGATTCATGAAAGAAACTGTTACATAAGAACTGTTAATTAAAGCGGAACATTACAGATATGGATTCTCAGTAGGCATAAAAACTGAAAACCAGGCCAGCATAAGATGATTCAGATGTCAGTATTTTTTTTTTTCTTTTTTTTCTTTTGCCGAGAACATTACACAAGAATCGGTGATGATTTTATACCAAACGCAGAAATCGATCATTTGACTTTAGAATGAGAACCTTTGAAATTGACTAACCTGTTTTGCAAGACTGCAGGCACGATCAGGGGAATTCAAAATTTCATAGTAGAATACAGAGAAGTTGAGAGCCAATCCAAGTCGGATCGGATGCGTGGGAGGCAACTCGGCATTTGCAATATCCTGTAAAGGAAATTAGAGTTCGTTCAATTTTACGCAATACAAAAATCGGTAAGAGCGGAAAGCACAACGCAGAAATGACCTCGTAATAATAAAAAAAATGGAAAATAACTCAAATAATCGTGATTTAAAATAAAGAAAACTAGGAGGAAAACAAAGAAACATAAAAAGTACGATCACCGTATTCATAACATATCAGCGAAATAAACGGATCGGACAAAAGAGAAGCAGACCTGAGCGGCTTTGTAAGCAGTGAGGGTACTTTCGGCAGCTTCCTTCCGTTCGGCACCGGTTTTGAATTCAGCCAGGTATCTATGGTAATCGCCTTTCATTTTAAGGTAAAATACCTTGGAATCTCCGGAGGCCGCGGAGGGAATAAGTCTGGAATCGAGGAGTTTGAGAATTCCATCGCAGATATTAGAGAGTTCGCTCTCGATTTTGGATCTGTAGTCACGGATCACAGAGACATGGTGATCATTACCTCGGCTCTCCTCCTTCTGCTCGATAGAGGAAATAATACGCCAAGAGGCCCTACGAGCGCCGATGACGTTCTTGTAGGCGACGGAGAGGAGGTTTCTCTCCTCGACGGTGAGCTCCTCCTTGTCGATAGAAGCGGAAACCTTCTCCATGAACTCGACCATCTCCTCGTAGCGCTCGGCCTGCTCCGCAAGCTTGGCCATGTAAACATTCTCCTCGCGAAGAGAGGGGGCGGTAGCCATTGCAAGGAAATGGAGATTGGATCTGAGGACTGGTGGATTTGGGATCAGAGGGTGAAAGAGGAAGAGGAAGAAAGAGAGGAGGAGAGGAAGACGGAGAGTGGAGGAGGTGGGCTTTTGAGGGCCGAATGTAAGGCCTTTTTCAGGAGTAGTGGACCGAAAATTACGGCTGAGATGGAGAGAGATTTCAGTGATTCAATCTCAGCCCTTCGATCGTTGAAATTTGTCTGTATATTTTTATTAAAAAAAACCGTTCTCTTTTATTTATTTATTTATTTTAAAATAATAGTAATAATTTGAATATAACTAAAAAAAGAAGCATTCTTCTGTTTCTTGAATTAAAGGGCCCATGGCTGAGGCCGGGCAGCAAAGGAAGGCCATTCTTTGTTGACCTGACCGCTGACCGCTGACCGCTGACCTGGCCCAACTCCCCCACTCTATTTTAATGTATTAATTAATCAACTTTTGTAAATTTAAATTCAAACTATTAATAGGGACTAATTTAATTTAAAGTTTATTCAATTAACATGGACTATAATATAATAAACGAGGAAAATATCAAGATATTTACTATTTTTGTAAGTTGAAAATTCTAGGTATATTTGTTGTTCTCAAAAATAAAATAATTAATTATTATTTATTTCACATTTATCCGTCATTATTACGTAACAAGATTAATTATTTTTTTATACTATTTTTTATGTTAAGGTTATTATATAGGTTATTAGTGAAAAAATATGTATATAATGAGAGTATTGAAAATAATGAAAAAATAAATAAAATATTGGCCTCTATGTAGTCGAATACAAATTGAGAATGAAGGGACTGATTCTCGAACATCTTAATATTAATAGGGGTGTACATGTGTCGAGTTGAGAGAATAATTTTGACCAACCCAAAAGTTCGAGTTGATTAGATTAATAACTCAACCTAGCCCACTATTTTTTGGGTTGGGTCCGGGATGTTTAGAAGAAAAATTCTAATGTTGAGGCACTCGAGGCTGAAGCTGAGCAACTAGGAGGTGACAAACATGAAACTGAGAGATAATAGTGAATCAAAACGAGAACTTGAGAACTGAACACTAACTTCAGTTGCAAGACACTAGTAGCTAAACCCTTTGCCCTCGAACCCGATGCAATGCTCTCAAATTCTATGATACTCATTCCATGTACCGAAAATCAAAAGGTGATTGAAAACGAAGAAGGGAACGAAACGAAAAATAGAAAGCTAATGTTGTCGCTGGTAGATTTTTTTTTTTTTTTTTTTTTTTTTTTTTTTTTTTTTTTTTTTTTTTTTTTTTTTTTTTTTTTTTTTTTTTTTTTTTTTTTTTTTTTTTTTTTTTTTTTTTTTTTTTTTTTTTTTTTTTTTTTTTTTTTTTTTTTTTTTTTTTTTTTTTTTTTTTTTTTTTTTTTTTTTTTTTTTTCTATTCTACTAAGTATTATTCGTCTGTTTAATTGGAAAAAGAACTCTCTGTCCACCAAACACAAACGCAAAGCTAACAAAGCAAATGACACTCGAAAATGTAAAGGTGGTGACAGGATGCGAATTTTTCGGTTTAAGTCTAGTCTACAAGTACACATACGCCCTACATGTAGACACTGCACAATGTGTTGATGTCGCATATTGTAGATAAAGCCACACAAGGAGGGAAACTCGGGTTGGGAGCGTTGGGCTTGTGCTCGGGCCACTCTTGTTATTCTATTTCTCTTTCTTTTTTATTTTATATATAATCAAGTTGGGTTGGGTTGCACCAGTCCTTTGCCTACTTAACCCACACTCAACCCGAACCCGACCAAGCCTAAAAAAAATTTCATCCAACCCAATCCTTAGAGTAAGGGTCACCATATTTGAGGCTGACTTTTGCAATTTGTTTATAAAAAATAAATAATAAAAAAAAAGAAAAAGAAAAAGAAAAAAAGGGCTTTGGTAGGTTGGGCTTTAATAGATTATTTGGGTTTTAGTGTGGGCAGTCCAATTAGATTAGGCCCACTAATTAAAAAGGCTTTGATATATTGGGCTTTAATAGATTATTTGGGTTTTAGTGTGGACAGTCCAATTAGATTAGGCCCACGAATTGAAAAGGCTTTGGTAAATTGGGCTTTAATAGATTAATTGGGCTTTAGTGTGGGCAGCTCAATTAGATTAGGCCCACTATTTTTGATCCAATATTAAAACGTTACAGCACATATATAAATTCCATTATGCGCCAAGATTAAACCCTAAAGAAGGCGCATCTCCCTCGCTCCATTGTTCATATCTTCTCTGCTGCCGCCTGCCTTCACGACTATCTCAACAAGATGAAGGTTCGACCTTCGATTCCTCTTCTTCCTGATTGTTCTCTCTAATTTTATTCAATTCTAACTTTGATCTCTTTTGTTTTCAGTTTAATATCGCGAATCCGACCACTGGATGCCAGAAGAAACTCGAAATCGATGATGACCAGAAACTGTTAGCTTTCAAATCTCTATGTTCTTCAGTTTTTTGTTTTAGTAACGAATGTGCATTCTATGTTTATGAATTGTTCTTTCCATCTTCAGTCGAAATTTTTCTATTGCAAACTTTACATTAATACGTAGGTTGGTCTAGTAGAACCGTAATGTTCAGTTGCTTGAAACTTAGATTAGCTTGAAAAGTACATCTTCATGTCTTGAAACTTATATTTGCTGTAGCATGGCTTCACATGCCTGGATCTTTGAATTTATTACTAAACCTTTAGTGTTTGCATGGATGATATCATATTTAACCTGGGTTAAATTTCTTCATGGACTAAAATGAACCATTTTCTTTGTTTAGCCGTGCTTTTTTTGACAAGAGGATCTCTCAGGAAGTCAGTGGAGACTCACTTGGAGAGGTATGTGGGCTCTTCTGTGATCCATTATATTAAATCTCAGTTCCTCGTTGCTGTGGCTGAGTTTACTGATTGAGGAATTTCCTCTTCTCAGGAATTCAAGGGCTATGTTTTCAAAATCATGGGAGGTTGCGACAAGCAGGGATTCCCAATGAAACAGGGAGTGTTGACCCCTGGCCGTGTCCGTCTCCTTCTACACAGAGGTCTGTGGCACCGTTTAATCTAATTTGTGGTGTATATTATTTGTTTCCAATGATTTATAGTACTATCCCAAGTATCCAAGCATGTATTTATTTGTTTTTGTTTGGCCAGGTACCCCTTGTTTCCGTGGATATGGAAGGCGCAATGGAGAACGCAGGAGGAAGTCTGTGCGTGGTTGCATTGTCAGCCAAGACCTTTCTGTTCTGAATTTGGTGATTGTGAAGAAGGGAGACAATGATCTTCCTGGCTTGACAGACACCGAGAAACCAAGAATGAGGGGTCCCAAGAGGGCATCCAAGATTCGCAAGCTTTTCAATCTGTCAAAGGAAGACGATGTTCGAAAGTATGTCAACACATACCGTAGAACATTTACCACCAAATCTGGTATGGTTTATATTGCCTTTTGTGAGTTTTGAACCTATCTTAACAAACTAAGATCGTTTTGGATTTCTTTTCCTGGATGGAGAGGTTTAGAGAAATGTATTTCTTTAATAAACTATGCTATATTTTGTCACAACCTTTCTAAATTTGTTGAAGTTGTATTATATGGCATCTGTCTACATCACATACCCAAGTGGGCTTGTGAGATCCCACATCTGTTGGAATGAAGCATTCCTTTTAAGGGGTGGAAATCTCTCCTTAGTAGACTCGTTTTGAAACTACGAGGCTGACTGCAGTACGAAACGGTCCAAAACGGACAATATCTGCTAGTGGTGGGCTTGGGCTGTTGTAGGAATACTCTTAGTTTATCTTATCTAGATTAATCCACTTTCTCGTTTGAGCGATGTCAAGAATTTTATTTGGTACAAATTGTACATTCAGTTTCATTTCTTCTTGTATTAAGTTCTTATGGGGCTTTTTCTGTGTTGATTGGCAGGCAAAAAAGTTAGCAAGGCCCCTAAGATTCAGAGGTTGGTTACCCCACTGACCCTGCAGAGGAAGCGAGGAAGAATTGCAGAGAAGAAGAAGAGAATTGCGAAGGCCAAGTCTGAGGCTGCTGAGTATCAGAAGCTCCTTGCGTCTAGGCTGAAGGAGCAAAGAGAACGCCGCAGCGAGAGTTTGGCAAAGAAGAGGTCGAGGCTCTCTACTGCTTCAAAGCCGTCCATTGCTGCTTAGTTAATTCGTATTATTTATGTCTCAGCGTTCTGTTGTCTTAAATTTTGCCATCCTGCTTTGCTTTTTAAAAGAATCTTCTTTTGGCTTTCTTGACATCTAGAATGGTTTGGATATTTGGTTCCTAATTTGGATAGCCATTTCTTGATATACTTCAAATTTCATGATTAAGCCTAGAGGAATTTTGAAATCCAGCTTAGTAATTCGACGAATTCACGCAGTTCATCAATTTTAGTGGATGTTCAAGTACATGGTTAATCTGAAAAGACTGCTTTATATTTAATGATATGGATTTGTTTTTTAGGTTAAATTTCTGTTTTAATTAAATGAACATTTCAAGGATCTGTGTAAGAAACATTTATTTGAGTTTTAAGGTTTTTCCATGACTTATTATGGTAATGAGCAAGCCTAAAAATTCTGGTGTTTAGGGTGTACATCGAACTTGCTAACTTGAATTATAAAGGTAGGATTGTGTTTGAATTTCAAATTATTGGATCAATCCAACCTAACTTAAAAACCTTAAGAAATAATAAAGTTTTCCAAGTTTTCGTCTCGTCTCTATGTGTCGTCAAATGTCATCGTCGCTTGCCTCTTTGTTTCTTCGTTGGACTCTTTTGAATTTTCGTGTCTTCGATCAACCTTGCCTCTATGTTTCTCGTTAGACATCGCCGACTATCTCTCCACTTGGTGCTTCGTTCTATTCTTCATCGGACTTGCCTCTTTGTTTCTTTGTTGGACTCTTTTGAATTCTCGTTTCTTCGCTCGACCTTGCTTGTATGTTTATCGTTAGACATCGCTGACTGTCTCTCAACTCGGTGCTCCGTTCCACTCTTCATCGAACTTCTCTGCTCTGTGTTTGTTGTCAAATTTCTCTGCTCTATGTTTGTTGTCGGACTTCTCCACTCTGTGTTTGCTGTCGAACTTCTCCGCTCAGTATTTCATTATTTCACAACCCGAACCCAACC